GTGAAAGTAATCCGATGCATTACTAGAAATGGCAGACGGAAGCGCAAAACAGATTTTTACAATATAACTGAAAGCTGCGTCATTTGTAACAGTGGTTTGAGATATAAGGTGCCTGGTCTGTAACAAGGATAATACTTGACGATGTACAAAACTTGTAGTTAAATCATCTGTAGTTAATAATGAGTGGTTTTTTTACAATCACATGTATTTTATTATCATTAGATATAAAACTGATAACTATTGGTTTATATTTAAAAAGATAAACAGTTCAAGATGAATTTCGATGAAGTGATAAATGTTGCTTTGACTTAATATGCGTCTTAATGTTTGTGATGGGATATCGTGATTGTTGAAAAGTTTAAAATTCAGGTGGATTGTCATAAATCATAATCTAGGTTTCATTGCTAAGGATTCGCGACGAAAGTAATATTTAAAATCGGGGACTTATTAGGGCCGCGCTATTTACATGACGTATCGGGGTCGATCGGGGTCATTGACGTCATACAATAACAATGATCATCATTGCAAGTGAGAGATTTTGCGGACGGTAAATCGTGGTTGTACGATCGCAAATTATTTTCCTTCAGCAGTGAAAGGACCTGTTTTATTTCGGATGAAGTAGAAAACAGTTTATTTTAAATGGTTGTTAAGTTCAAGACTTAGAGTTGATAATGGCAGTTTATATAATTATCGATTATCTATGATACTGGTGTTCGATATTGAATTGATAATCCTAGTAAATCACACATCCAGAACTTATATAGGATAAATGTCGAAGAAACGAAAAGTTACAGGCAAATATTACCATAAAAAGTAGATGTTTAAATTACAAAATATTATGATAAATTCAGTACATCAATAAATGAACACTTTGGTAAAGAACTTTCCACGGAATTCAGTAAGGAATATTAACCTTGTAACACATGCAGTGGTTCATATGAACACCGCACTCAGTGTTTAGCGGTCATGGGTGCGAATGGATCAAAAATTCCATTAAAATAAGAACACGAGCCATGGTAAAGTAGAAGAAACGAGAAATCAAAACTGAAATCATATTGCACTAGCGGCATGTTGCGGTCTTCCGTCATACACGGCCTGCATAGTCATTTCATATAAAAGCTAACATGTCGCCGATTTTATCTTATGAAATATTTTTTGTAAACACAAAATTCATTTTGTTTCAAGTGAAGTCCATTATGTGTACCTAACTACTTATCGGGCACATTTTTTTCGATGTTTTCACAATGTTGGCGGAAATGAGAGTGGCGGGCTGGTGAGATGTATCATGTACGACCTCGTTTAGGTATATCGAGGGAGTTTCTGTGTATTGCGCATGTCAACTTGACTTCATAAGTTCAGGTACGACCGGCACACGGGTTTCTGTTAACATTGACCCCCATTAGTGGTTTGCCAAATCAGTTTACAAGTTTGTGGAAGTTTACTTAAACAATGCAGTTGTTTCTAAAGGGATTCCGTAATACAATATCATCAATTTTGTAACAAATCTAACTAGACTACCATTTAAAACAAAATTTTAATCCAAGAAAACTTATATTTTAGTAGCGTCGATTCTATTATATTGACCGTCTGTTTGAAACGATGGGGTACAGTAACATACATATGGTTACAGATATTCAATGACGCATATGTATCTATCAAAGATTAAGCCTGCTTTTTTATCATAGTATTATTTCATTCCATTCTTTGGCGTATCCGAGTAACGGTATTATAGAATTACTCGGGAGCAAAGCTTCAGTATTGTAGAACTCCACGGAAGTAAAGCTTCAGTATTGTAGAATTCCACGGGAGTAAAGCTTCACTATTGTAGAATTACACGAGAATAAAGCTTCAATATTGTAGAATTTCACGAGAGTAAAGCTTCAATATTGTAGAATTCCACGAAAGTAAAGCTTCAGTTTTGTAGAATTCCACGAGAGTAAAGCTTAAATATTGTAGAATTACACTTGAGTAAAGCTTCAACAATGTATGATTACACGGGAGTAAAACTTCCATATTGTAGAATTACACGGATGTTAAGCTTCAGTAAAGTAGAATTACAAGGGAGTAAAGCTTCAGCATTGTATAATTACACGGATGTTAAGCTTCAGTAAAGTGGAATTACACGGGAGTAAAGTTTCGGTATTATAGAATCACAAGGGAATGAAGTTTCGGTTTGGTGGCAAGAGTATTGCAATGACAGATTGTGGTGCACCGTGTGATTGTTTTATTGTGATAACGTCTCCTCGCTGAACCTACACAAAACATGCAGCGTACAACATTACCCGTCGTAAATAGAGGTTATAAAGTTTTTTTAAACACTAGTGTTACCTGGTGATTCGGGAACGAACACTTTGGACTGAGCTTTCTCAAGTGGCTACGTTGCGCCATTATCTCATGTAAAGGTCACGGACATTCCGGGGTGGGGAATGTCACATTTACAACAAGCAATTTTGTTAAAGCGTTTTTGATCGTGTTTAAGGGAACTTTTCACAGCCAAATAGTGAAAGACATCTGAGAAACGCTCGTGCTCGGCCCGATGCGTGATCGAATCGGGGTAGGTCAGAGCCCAGCGATCTAGCAACTGCTGTTTATCCCAATAAACCCGTCGTACCGGCATTTATCACAACGATAGTCCAAAAGTCAGGAGAATAAGCGTTGAGAGCTTTGATGTCGGAAGGCATCTATCACACCTAAGCTCTGTCGATAATAATTTAGTTTTTATTCCAACTCAGTCGGTATGGGTAGGTGTAAACAGCCCCAGGACATAGAGCCTTGGTTTACATTGTTCATAGTATCTGTATCTTCATATCTAATAAAGAAAATTTATTAAATTTTGCCACATGCTTGGTATCACTGACCAAATATGTCGGGGGTGTTAAAATGGGTTTAAGGTTATTATTCTCTAATTCCGAGTAAATTCTGATATCGCGCCTTCATAAAACATTTAATGGAAATTTTCCCAGGAGTTGTTGTTGAAATCATAAGAATTGCAGACTTGTGTTGTTTTCTGAATTGATAACGGTTATGTATTATAGTACAAATGTATAAGCATAGTCAGGTTTGATTTTCTGGCACAACGAAAGCAAAATAAATAAATAAATAAATCACAAGTTTAATTTCATTTGTACAATCGACTGACACCTAAACATTTAGCCTGTTTAGGTTTGTTGTTGATTTCCGGATTTGTTTATAGATAAACATGATTTACAGAGTGATTGATCCGAACAAGACACACGGCCGTTCGGTCACATGTAGTTAGGAACCTATGTACTTCCACGACAATGATAATTGCGCCGTACGACCATTCATCAGTAATTCATTAATGTCACAACTGTCCACGACCTGATTAGGGTCCGCACTATCAGTCAACCGTAAACCCATCATCGGCGATTTCGTCATCGTAAATGTCAAATAAACACGGCTACCTACATCGTGGTCGGAGGCAGGGCAACAATTTCTATGTTCTGTGTTTGTTTGGCCTTTGTGGGGGATCAGCACCGATTTGTTTTAGGTAACGGATCTGTCAAATATCTCCCAATGAATGTCAGTTTCTAAGGCGACAGTAGTAGACTAGTAGACATATAAAAGTCAACCCTCTCCAGACACCTATGTACAGGATTGTACGCGTGGGGATTTTTCACATAAAAAAAACAACGAGTTATAGAAATCTAAAAGCCCAATAATTTGTATTTGTTACTCAGCGTTTGTTATCACTTTATGTTATCTGTAATGTTAAATGATCCAGCCTTTATATAAAATGATACCATTTATGAGCTCTGTTCTCTGAGGTATATATTGCCCTTAGATGATAAACGTAAAACGTGGGTTAAACACCCTGTATGGACGATGCAATATAATTTATGAGCTGGACTTAACACTGAGAAAAGATTGGCTGTCTCAAATTATGTAATAAGATTGTAAATCGTGGGTTTTCTGATAATAACACTGCATTATATCGTTTAACATGTATTACTTATAATGCAATGTGTTTGAAAACTACAGTCAACTTTACACCAGATTTTCCATCGTTTGACGTCTTGCTGTGCTTACTGTGTAAAAGGAGAGTTGAAATATAACGATAAAAAACAACAAGAAAATATCAACATGTGAACATAAGCATAAACCAAACTCAAATTCAATAAAACTAGGGCAAATAATGAACAAGAGAAAGATTTACCCGGAAACTACTGAAAAAGTATGAGGAGAGTTAGACCAGGTGTTGAAACCTCTTCTTCTTTATCGACAACACTAGTCATGTAAATATTGTTCAGTCCAAGTAAATAATGTCAAGTTCTCAAATGAGAACAAGGTCATAAATCAATGGAACCAACAGGTAACCTTACGCCAACGAACACGTCCAGCTTCATATTGCATAAAGAAATAGAAAAAAATCCCCATGATATCACTATGACGACCGTTAAAGTATTAGTTACGATAAAACAACGCGAGTGCATTTAGGGCAAAATTTCCAACGTATTCCATCAGATACGATTTAGGAACGACTGCGTCTAATTGCGCCAAAATCTGTATTAGGTGTGGAATATCACCAATACTTAAATCTTTATTTAGAGGAGCATGCTACGCCCACTATTCTAAAAAAAACATTTTGTATACGTCTGTTCCAGACATATTAATGTAATAGTGTACAGAAAGACAATGAAAAATTACAAGCAAGCATTTTCTAGTTCCTAATATTAATTGATTAATTTAATGTATCTGAACGTTTTATGAAAATGATTATTTCTAAAGACGGTGCCATTGGTATATTTACCTAATTGTTATGAAACATTACCACATATCTTCTAACATTGGCAGGTGTTTGTTTCCGTTACCTGGAGTCTTGAAGAATTCTAGACATTCCATATTACATCCATTTTATAATCAATTAACATGGATTAACCTATGACTTAAAATCACAAAACATGAACTTTTTCCGCGTATTATCTTATAATACAATTCAATGTGAAACGAGTTTAATGTTTACTTGTAATATTTTTCAGAGGTGCAAAGATAAACTGAACACGCTGGCGGTGTCCGTAATGAACACTTGGCCGAACGTGAAACTGCGCGTGACAGAAGCCTGGGATGAAGATGACCACCACGCTAAGAACTCTCTTCACTACGAGGGTCGGGCTGTAGATATCACCACCAGCGACAGGGACCGTACCAAATATGGACTGCTGGCCCGACTGGCGGTTGAGGCTGGATTTGATTGGGTGTATTACGAATCACGTGGCCATATCCATTGTTCCGTAAAATCTGGTAAGTACACAGTCTTTGTAATTTTAAAATAAAATCCATGAATATAAATTTGATAGAACGAATGGAAAGAATCGTTCCCACACACCCACTGAAGCTTCATCCATCACGGATTTCGTCAATATCGTTCTGATTTTCACTTCCGGTTCCTCCTCTAAGAAAACGATTTTGTTTATCAATTCGAAGTTAGCAATAAATGCTTGTCCGACACCACATATCAGTGAAAAATGTCGTTCTCGACTAGGGATTACTTCAAATATCATTAACATAATGCTATTAAACGTGACTAATTTTAGAACCTCATTGTTGTCTTGTCTCATATAATTCCAAACAGGATATATATTGCTTATATCACGTCATTTACCTATCATCACGTGACATACCACTAACAATGAAAGTGCTTGTTCCCTAGAGGATCATTTTACGTTAATATACGATGTAAGTTTGAGGTCACAAACGAGCCTTGCAAGGCTTCAATAACTAACTATTAAACCTGTTCCTCCATTCAAACTAATATATTGTGTTCCATGCCAATAGACCGAGTGATAAAGTTTCACATTCTGTAGAAAGGTTGTATATATCTGTAACAAAATGTCTCAGACTTCACATCCGGGAAAAAGATGATTACAAGTTCCAAGAAAAATCGCTTGTACACGTAGCTTGGGTTCGAAAATGTATCGGTTAATCAACCCTGTTTGTGAGGTCCGATGATACCATCGGGATCGTTTTTTTTTTTTTTTTTCAGCTTTAAGCCAACTGAAAACGAGCCACACAAAAACTGTCACTGTCATTTTGTTTAGCATCACTGCCGATGTGATTAGGCTTTTACGAAAGTCTTTCATTGAAAACGTGTCATGATTGGGACATCACGATGTACAGCGCTTAAAGAAACTCACAACATTGAGTTAAATTAGGCAAAAATTCAACCCTCTTGATATGTATCTCTTGACGGTATATATTCATAAATCACAAAATGATATGACGTAGAAAATGATAAAAATCTGCAGAAGTACGTATCATGCTTTGAAAAAAAAATCTGCCTACAATATTGTATATAGTAATGAAAAACAGCAGAATCTTTAGCCCTTGTGCTGGGTAGACATTGAGCGAACTCAACGTCCAGCAGTCCTACTAACGAATTTACCGGTGATATATCTGTCCATTATATAACAAACGTTTTCAATAGTTTACTGGCCTGTTAAAAAGGCATTCCACGGCGCTACCTGTTAGCACTACTGTCCGCTTTGCTTCCAATACAATGACGACCCAGTCACTGTCTGTGCGACTAACGTGCGCTTTTATAACCGCCTCTATTAAAACGCTATCGTCATTATCATAGCACTTGTAAAGCACGTATTTCCATCCCCTTGAAGTTTAAGAGATGCTCTTCGTTTTACACATCTTCAAACGCCATAGACAACGAGATCTTGGCCAGGTGTGTACCCCAGATATGGAGACGACTGGGGGCTCCTCATACTTTCCTTTAAACCAAACCAGAAATAGATAGGCAAGACTTTGTCCCGTTATTTATCCAAAACACCAAGTCACATTTAACATAAAAAAGCTATTTATCGTACTTAAGAGGATAGCGAAAAGTAATTAGTTCTTAAAAGCGAGCTGGAATTAGGATGTGCAACATTTGAGAGAACTGTTATTGACGAAAGCTTCCATCGTTTCTATTTGGTGTCATTGCTGTTTATAATTTGCTGGTGCAGAACTTCCGCACACTATCAGGTGTGCCTGTGGCCAACTACATGTAAGGACGGTCGTTCGGGTGTCTCGTACTTGTAAAACACCTATGGAGTGCCGGATTACAACTCCAATGTGTACCCAGGATTAGGCGGGCTTCACATGCTTCACGTTTTACGTGTTAAGTTCATATTAGAGGTCAGTTGGATTCTCATGACGACATTTTATCTAAATGTTTATAGAAGTGAGTAATACTGACCATGTTACGTGAATACGCCAGAGATTATTTAACGAGAGTCTTTCAGGATGAGATCACTGTCGAGAACGAAAACGCATTGCTAACCCAGTATTGGTTGGGACTAGAAATTCAGTGGCAAGTGGTTACTAACTATGGCAATTATACAGAAACACCAATTCTGCATTTAATTTTGAAACAGCGTATTGTCTTTAATATCCTTCTCCTTCTAACTATAGTTATACAGATGATTTGAAAAGAAAGACACTTCGTGGCCTCTGATAAATAATTTGGTGTGTACACACATATAAGTTATTCAAGTACATAAGTATAAAATTGCAGCCACCGGAGTGAAGAGTATAAACACGTAGATGTGAAATTTCTCCCTGTCAGTCTCGGAACACGCCCCTGTACCCGTTATACCCTAACTTACCCTAGTATGGACTACGTTACCCTAACTATGTATTTTATCTAGAGTTACCTACTGACATCGGGAGACGGTATAACGAACTATTTGTAATCGTTAGAATTTTGATACCAGTGAAGACATCGATATTCTAAGACATTTATGTCTTTATCCAGACATGGTACTGATTTGACCTTCACGTACTACACAATGCATGGCTTGGATGTTAGCCAGTGATGTTTTGATATGGCGACCCTACCAGAATGCACCAACAGGGAAATAGGGATGTTGTAATGATGCAGTTCTCTACACTAAAACACGGAAATTAACATTCCACAAAGCATTCTGAATCCCTCTGTCTGATGTGAACAGTGGATGAAGGAAATATTTCTAAAAGTTGAAAGACCACGATGAGGAATGTTGGCATATTTTCACAGATTTCTAGGGTGATTACACACTTGTAGACATCCTCGCCTGAAGCCTTTGGTATTTCAACATACATTGATATATGAGAATAATAGTAACTATGAATAAGAAATTCGCAAGCTCACGTTTGAAGGTTTCGATCGATGATATCAGACAAGAACAATGCGTTTTACTTATTATTCTCTAATACAGGAAACAAGTACCTTGATATAGACAAATATCTGTTTTCGGTATGATCTAAAATTAAACCACAGGCCCTTACATATTAGGTTTACCGGGGGTGGTAAGTAACAATGTTTGACATGTGTAGCAGTTGTTATAGTGATAACACTTCACCAGACATACCCCATATAACTGCGGTAAAGATACCCTTCATGTGCCGCTATCACAACTTTGCTTTGACTTATTCAAACTGGGCCGAGAATGATAGCTGTTGATTGAATGTTTGTAAAAGGGCCATACACCCTTAAATACTGGTATGGGCATAGGAAAGTGTTGGGCAAACACTCGGGTGGTACAGGGACACTCGCAGACGTGTCGACGGTGTGTAGGAAATCCTTACATACATAATCAGCGAGGACGGCTAATCATGCCATGTTGAACATGTACTTGATAAGAAGCCAGATCTGACAGCTAGCTCCTTGATTGAATACGATTTCCATCAATTAAGTTGACAAGATGATCTGAGTTATCACATAATACCCAGCAATACCGAGACTCATTAAACAAAGCAATTGACAGACTAAAACGATGCCCTCTCCAAATTTCCTTAATTGTCGAAATATCGTTGTTTATACTGTAATAAGAATGCTAAATATACATTTCTTATTTTTTCATTGCACCCATAGATGACTTGAAATGTTCAAATAGTTTTAAGCATGCTTTAAAGTCTGCCCTCCTCCTCCTCCTCCTTCCTCCTCCTCCTCTCCTCCTTCTTCCCCCTCTCTTCATACTTTCTCCTCCTTCCTCCTCCTCTCCCCTCTCCTCCTCCTCCTCCATCATGATGACCATGTTCTTCATCATCATTATCATTATCATCATCATTTGTGAAATGTGTTCTACTCATAAACGATTTTTTTTCACAGAGTCATCCGCTGCGATCAAGATTGGAGGCTGTTTCACCGGATCTGGAACTGTACAAACACCGGAGAAAGGACGAGTTTTAATTTCCGACATCAAAGTTGGAGACCAAGTTTTGACCATGACGAAGTCTGGAACTCTTCAATACAGTGAGGTCATCACATTCCTGGACAGGGACGAACAGAGAACGGGTTTATACCACACATTGTTAACGAGCGACGGAAGAACGATAACTCTCACTGATAAACATCTCATTTACACCTCACCGTCAAACCAAACAAGCTTACATTCTTTCCAGGCAAGATACGCTGACACCGTTAAAATAGGGCAATATGTTTTAATTGCCGAAATGACAAAAGTAATAAAACCATCAAAAATTATTGACATAAAAATAGGTTTTCAAGACGGTGTCTACGCGCCCTTGACGGCAGAGGGCAGCATTGTCGTGGATGGCGTTGTGGCATCGTGCTACGGTGTTATCAATAACGAACAAATTGCGCATGCGGTGTTTGCGCCAACGCGAATGTTACATTCGATTTCACAGTACATATCATTGCCATGGACTCAATCGCATTCTAACGGAACACAACATGAAGGTGTGAATTGGTACGCTGAGTTGCTTTACACAATTGGAAAATACGTTTTAGACAAAGATACAATGTACCTTGTGTAGTTCGGGTAACTGCCAGATTGTCACTAAGGACCCGAAAATTTGTATATAACAGTTTATGGCGTAATATGTACGTCACAAACCGGAAATGGATAGTGCGCATGACATCGACAGTGTCATCCCAGCATTACTTTGAGTACAAAGTGTGTGTGCTGTGTTCGCTCGGATTAAACCAAACGGCATTTCCCTTGTGGTAAGAACTGACATCAAGTACTGGCAAAACTTTCAATTATCTTGGGGACTTGGTGCATTAATTACGAGGAATGTTTCTCTTCTAAAAAGCAGTAGCTATTGTTTAGTGACACAAGACATTGGTTTAATCGTCATGCATGTATCTCGCTTTCCTCATTCTGACTACGTGAGAAAGTGGCTATGTATATAAAGACACGTATTATGAGTAATGTATGTGTAATTATGTGTTCTTAACGTAATGAGAATGGATTTAAAAGATAAGGTAAAGATTGTCTTTCCTTTCTTTCCCTACTCCCTTTGGAAAATGGTTTTAAGATCCGATTTCTGTGGTATGTGTTAAAATAAATGTGAAGATCCATACGTTATGACTGAAACAAGTCAAAACTTGAATGAATGAATGCTACGTCAAGCACTTGAGACTGTGCGTGTTACATATACGCGTGTTGTAATTTCTTTTTTCTTTATTTCGTCGAATAACGTTGTCAATATAATTGTCCTTTAATTTATTCTATTGCCAGTAGATAATTGTTTATTTAATACGTGTTTGTCATTCATGAACGGCACACAACGTGTGCGGCTTAAATTATTTTTCTAGTATATTATGACCTTTTATCAGAACAAGGCTTTAAATTTTTGCTGTATGTCTGTACATATGAAATTATTGTGATTTTAGAGATTGTCAACTTGCATTTTGTATAATGAAATGCTGTCTGTAACTTGAAACCTTGTATTTCATTGACATGGAGATAGCAGCCCAATCATTTGTAAAGTAATCGTCTATATTACCGAGGGGCAATGTTTTCGTATATACATCGTAATGGTTGCGCAATAAACGTTGCTTTATTTGTGAGCATCCTCATAAAATACAAAAAAACGTCTGTATATTTTATACAGATTCTTTTGTTTTATTGATTGTTCGTGGTCGTATTAATTTTTATCGAATCACGCCAATATGTTGAACTCGCCTGTTTGATTAAACCTTTTTGATCCTGTAAATTTCTTCCTTAGTCACGGTCCTGCCTTTTACTTTCCTTGGCTCAGCCATATTTGGACATCTGTACATTAGCTCACTTAATACCAATTTCCTCTCGAAAAATCGATTTATTTCATAGAAAAAGCCCGAGGATGTCGACAAAGAATATATTGAACGAATTTCTTGCTTTTGACCACAATTGACCTTACCTAATTTGCTACTTTAGTCGATCTATATCATTAAAGCCATTACTCGTTTATTCAAATGCATTCCATGCCATTCCAATTCTTAAAAGTTTTTTTCTTCCCGTGTTGTTCCTGCAATACTTTTTGCTAAGAATGATCCCAGGTGGTCCGATTTTGGACGTTACTACGTTAGTATGAAAACCAAATAATTCCCTTTCCATTTTTGAGCGTAGGTATATTAAAACATTTCCTAGAAAATCAGACGAAGTCCTCATATCTTTTTAATAATAGCACACCATATCGAAAAAAAATCTGTCTTTTCTGTTGATCTTAAATGACGCGTATTTTTCCATGTTCTCCTTACGTTAAACCATTTTCATATCATATGAACGTCAACCTTTAGATATCAACTTTAGAAAAATGTTATCACATAGTTCATCACGTTATAACCTCTCTGCTGATACCTTATTTGGTATCACTTCTCCGTGAACAGATGTGATGTGTTTAGTCACAGTGAGCAGATGCATATTGCTGTTTGTTTGACGTTAAAATGATATAATATTGCCTTCTCATAACTCACATTGAATATCTTTTTGTGACAGATACGCATACTAGCTTCACAGATATTGTAAGTACTGCTTAATATTTGTTATTTAGCTTTAAAATGTTTTCGAAACAGAAATAATGTTAATAAATAATGTTTTACGTAAATAATGTGCTTGGTTTATTTATTCTTTATTAGTTTGAGAAATTACTCAAACTGAAGTAAACATCGATCAGAGTTCCTATACCAAAACGTTTTCCTTACCAATGCTTGGTGTTAATATTTCAGTGTGTGAACGACTGACTTTTTACTTTGTGACTTTGATTATTGTACAGGAAACACAAACACTGCAACATTAGCTTCAAAATTAAGTATGTAAGAAATTCAACGATTACATTTTCATTTTATTACTCGCAATTTGACCCCAAACTTTTTATGAGTCCACACAAAATGTAATGTTTTGAAGAGCATGTTATATGCAGCAACTCTAATGTGTCTTACTGAAAGCCTTGACATTACAGAATGACTCGAATTTATATCTCTCCTTTGAAAAGAACTATAATATTAATCCTGATAAACTCTCTGATGAAATATACCTCGCTTAAAAGTATTGAACACGGGATACACATGTCAAAATCACCTGTCATTACTACGAATAAAGCATCATACAATGTTTCTATTTTTAGCACTCCTCGTTAATAAAAGTGAAAGATAAAACATATTTTAAAAAATATTCGAAATAGATGTTACGAAACAGAAAAAAATGCTCAAATCAAATAATTATATCAATATTTTATATATATGTCCGGTATCAAGTCAAGTCGCCCCCAAGACAAGTCGCCCCCCTATTATCTCAAGACAGGTCGCCCCCTACATCAAGACAAGTCGCCCCCTACATCAAGACAAGTCGCCACCTTCATCAGAAGAAAAATAATGAATGAAAATATAATTATTTTGTTGTTTGATGCTATTTTATTTATTCCAATTATAAGAATTATGTACACATATACCACATACATACACATTTACACACACGTTTACATGCACATTATCATTATATCACATAAATAACATCAATTATAAATAAGATATTCAATCATCATATATACACACATTTACATGCACATTTATTTTATCATAATATCACATAAATCACAGCAATCATTAATCAGATATTCATCAAACTTGCATACATGAAGTTTATTTTAAGCACTAATAATAAATATATACATGAAGTTGGTTTAATTGGTGCATGTTCTGAGAATTTGTTAATATTCGACAACGGCAGACCTTAAGGAACCAATACCCATCATCAGGCAAATTGTCGAAGGTTGTGTTAAAGACACACAAGCGAATAACACTTTTCAATGCACATTAAGAATTGACATAGTAGAGCCAAATAATGAATTTAAAGGCACCATTCAACTGATTCATCCTTCTAGTTGACAATGGTGCTATCGGCGTAAATTTTGAACCCAGAAGGCGACCGAGGAAAATCAGGTTTTTTCAAAAGAAACATCGAAATTTGGCTGGGAAGTTGTACTAGATCTTGCTTCATTAATTAGTTTTTACCTGATTTTACAAACAAAAACAAAAACAAAACAAACAAAAAAAACTATATTTATTCTACTCTATTTCATCATCCAATACAATACAATTTACAGGCGATGATACATATCATATCCTGCAATTTGCGAGAGATAATGTTTAACCATCATAAGGCTCGGTGGTATAGCATTAACCCGGAAGTTAAAAAAACTCGACAAAATCTAAAATCACACTCCAGTTTGCTAAAACTATGGGAAAATATGAACAATAAAATTATTTACACTCAAAACTCATTGAATAAAAAGTTCAGGGATACTAAGACTAGTGGTTCTGAAAGGATTAAAAAAAACCCAGATAAATCCATAACTCAGATTCAATAAAACTATTGCAAAATATGCTTGATCAGCGACATGACCGATCTTCGTTAGTGAGAATAATGCATAACAAGGGTACTACCAGGCATACTAGCGAGCATCAAACCCATCCGACATGTATTGTACAAGGAGATAAATAGTTCCTAATGAGAGCATTGCGACAGTTTGCAGGGATGTTACAATCACGAAAAGGGAAGTTGTTTACGACAGAGTTTAGATGGTCCTGAATAGTGAGCGGCATTTGTTTCGTCTTTATAAACCATCATGTAAATTAGGTAAACAATTAAAAATTATAATGACATTACTGCGACAGGAAAACACCACCAGTTTGGCTAACACGCTGTTTTCATCTAGAAAAGATGAGACATCTGCGATACAAATGTATTGGAATCGTAATGCTCATCACACCGCTTAACAGAAAGCTGCACCTCTTAGTTATATTGTGAAGATGCCCGTACAGATACCAACTCGTCAATTTATAAATGTTGAGTTTACAAGAAAGGGAGGGAGTGCTATCAAAATCTGTCTGTTCAAGCTAACATTGTACCATACCCCTATAATTTCCTAGTCACTCCAAGACCATTACATCCATTTTTTGACTATAAATAAATGCTGCAACAACTGAATGTAGATATCTAAGAACTACTCCTTCGTCAGCTTGTTCTTGTTCTACCACTACTTTCATCCGTTGTCTTATTGTGCACATAGGAACTGGTAATTGAAGCATTATCTGAAGTGGTATTACGTGGGAGCTTTACCTGATGGGTCCTAAATATGACAAAACACAGTCTGTAAATCGGAAAATGTATTTCAACATGCAAAGAATGACCGAGTTAAATCGATTCGGTCCATCATTCTTAAAAAAATCAGCAGCTTGAAATCTAAGATGCTGTTAAAAGTCCACGCGTCAAGTTTTACATGTCAGGTTTGTTATTGTGCTCGACTGAAGAAAAAATCCACAAATATATTAAGGAATCTTTCTTAAAAAGAAATATTATCTAGTGGTGCTTCAGTACTACAATCACTTAGAATGCTAATTAATGATAATAAAACGGACCTCCTTCTTGAAACTGCTTACTACCATTCTCACCACTACTAAAACTGGTTTACAGTCCTATTGTGAAACCGTTTACTCTAAACATTTCTTCTATTAGCACTTTAGATTTTTCATCGCTGTACGCTATCAT